AATCAATCTGGTACTATTTATTTTACCATTTATTTTGTTCTTATCGTTAAAACTCAAAGTTTTCAAGTAATTTTCATTAGTTTTCCTTACATTATTTAGATACTTCTTACTTCTCACAAAAGATGTCCACGTGATTGAATTTTGATTATGCTCGACTTCATGTCACAGTAGTTCCATTCAGTGTAAGAATGACATTTTTACTGAAATTCTTCTCATCATCGTCTCTCTACAGCATGTTTAGTTGCTAAAGTCATCATCGTCTCTCTATGGTATGTTTAGTTGCCTAAATTTGACAGGTGAAACAAAAAGTCTCATATCCCTCTTGATTTACAAAGGTATGAGGAGTCCCTTTGATTGGCTTTAAGGGCGCGAATGCCCTTTCATTTTTTAGTCAGAAGTGCATGTTTACTTGTTCTTGAAATAAAACGTAATCAAATTAGATGCAATTGCGTATTGTAATTTGCCATAACCTTTCTCAAGTCAGATGCTCTCAAGTCTCACCCTTCAACTACAAGTATGGAAGTTTCCAATATTCCAAACATGTCATGCTTAAGGACGACAAAATCTAAAATGAATAAGTCATTTTCTTTTATTGATTTTGTTTGTTTCATTTGTTTTCTTGACAAAAAATTATTGTTGATTGATACTTCAAATGTCGTTTAAAAAATTTGCGAGTTAAGTGGTTAAGAACGTTTTCTTATTCGCTAGACTCTTTACTCCTCAAGCATCAGTCATTTAACAAAAATTCTACAATACTATTTATGCTATTGAAGTATTAAAATGATTTAACGAAAGCCATTCAATTTATTTTTTATAAATTAATGATGAATTTATGGGACTAAATACCATGAGCTTGTTCGTTATTCAATGCCTTTGGTACTATGGGACTAGGTACCTAGCTAATAGTACCATAGGAATAGGTATCTTTAGGGTGACAATTATGGAAGCTAAGCTAGTGTAGTATAGTGGTATAAGAAAAATTCTAAAGAGATTATTTCAAAATGAGACTGTTTATAAATTTTTTGATACTTTACATTTTAACGTCAATTTATTGTCAGTATTATAAAAAATTGTGCAAAAAATATGAGTTATGAACTGTGAACAGTGAAGGTGGGAGAAATATTGCGTAACATGTACTTGAGAAATATATATATAGAAAATCTCCAATGATTGTTTTAATTATTTATGAATGTACGCGGTGTGAACAGTGAAGTCAAATGTTGATGCCAAATCATGATGTGCTGTTGCGTGTTAGTGCTTTGTTTTCCAAATTCTATCTGCTTGCGTTGAATTTTTCCAAGTGAGCTGCAAAGAAAGAAAGCAAGCCACAAAGCAAAAGATGATTAGGAATTTCGATAGGGATAAATGAGGAGCCTTTATATGGCCATGTGGTGGTGGGCATACTCTTTTGCGACTTGTTATCTCCTTGCTTTTGGCATTTGACAACTTCCTGCCCGCCACGTATAGCTAGTTCATTGGTCAATATCCTAAGATGGGTCACAACTCCAAGAAAATTTTCAATGTAGAGACACGATTCGGTACACCAAATATCATAATACAATTGCTTGAAATTGCCAAGTAATACTATAGTCTAGCGATATTTTTCTTCACTTGTAATTGAGATATTTTAGGTTCGATGTTCGCCAAAAGAGAATTTAAACCACATTATTGTTAGCTCATTATGAGGCTAAACTCATCACCTCTCTATTAGTGTAAATAATATCGTTTGTTCAAAAAAAAAAAATTGCTTGAATTTTTTTTACAAGTTTCCAACCAATTGATTACATTTGGTGTACCAGATCGAGTTTCTATTACATTGAAAAATCTCTCTACAACTCTTTTGTTGTACCAAGATTTTTCATAAAATGATCAAAATGATTGGTTATGGACAATACTTTATTAACCCACATAAAAAAATTATATGTTATTATATAATTGAACGAACACTTGAAATTATCTTTTCTAATCATGTACTCGCATTTAGAATTCAGTTTCCTCATAAACTGAAAAGTATAGATAGATTATAAGGAAAACTAATGAAAATAGTTTGAAAACTTTGAGTTTTAATAAAAAAGACAAAAAAGTGTTGTAAGTAAATAGTATCAAGAGTGACTTTTTAGAATAAATATATCATTTTTCGTTAAAGTAAACAGTACTAGAAATATTTCGATAAAACTTTCTAGATTATATAACATTATTCAGAGTAGTTTCTAGGCTGTCAATGTTTGTCTGGCATTAGCCTACGACTGTACTTACTACTGCTCCGCCCGCATAACATCTAACAACTAATACGTAATACAAGGATGACGTTGGTTTAATGCAACCATCCAATCAGAGGATCGTAATTTGCATTCGAAAGCAGGGAGTGGTTAGGCCAAAAGGGCCATAATTAAATATAATTGGTAGCCCCACTCCCTTATAATTATAATTATAATTACAAGGACTAGGACAAGAATATATCATACATGATTCAACAAGGTGAAAGGCACCAAAGTATATATATGACTTTTAACACACTTCATGATCATTTCCATCTTCCTCTCTAAATGCTCTCTCAATCATTAACTAGTATTGCACCCATGTGAGGTTCATCAAGCTTAGACAACTACCTAGTTAAGGGGACAAGAGTATCGCTTCTTTTTTATAATTCAAAGTTTTAAATGATACCTGTTTATCGCAGATCGAGTAATTAAATTTAGTTATTAGAGTATGTGTTAGGAAAAATTCTTGAATGTGAACGACTGTATCTCGTGACCATCAGACCACACACCACAACACATCAAACCCTTATATTTTGGTCCACGCACCCCTTGTGCCTGGGTGCCCTATACATGCTTCCGGAGATAAGAATTTATCGGGTGTCTGTGTCTGTAGTGTGCTCTATAGTTGTACAAAACTTTGGCATCCAAGGAAAGAAATTTGAACAAAAAGATTGAGGGTAGAGAGGGCTAGAAAGGGCTAGAGAGGTTAGAGGGCATGCGATATCATAACGCATGGAATTGAAGGTGCACCGTGGTCCTGGTACTGCGTTTTTTTGGAACGTTTGGTGTAAAGCAGGCTGAAAGCGACTGGACGAGAGAGGCAAGGCATGTCATATATAACTAGAAGATGTCCTCAAATGTACTCTACGCATAATTGTCGCGTATATTAGAAAACCTGGTCCCAACCCCAAGCAAGTGATATAGAGGCTACAAGTATCTGTCCCCACCCTCGTGCCTTGATAGTAAGTAATCCAAAGCAAACCCAGACAATATGAATGGGTGGTCGTGGTCGTGGTCGTCGTGTTCGCCGTGGTGGTATTGGTCTCCAGATCAAAACTACATAATATCCATGTAACAAGACAACAAGAGAGAAAGACAGAAAGGACCACATAACTGTTGTTACTGTTAGCTAATAGCTAGCTAGGTTGTTGATGATGATGATGATGATGTCATCTTCCCTTCCCCTCTTGGAAGATAAAGGGAGAAGAAGAATTACAGTTGACAAGGGCTAGGCTATGGAGTGGGAGTTCAATTCATAACGTCTATCAGAACGACAGATGGTCCAGCCAGGCGCAGATTTATCGGATCGCTAGCTAATGGCCTAATATGGAGATTAAGACTTGCTTTTAGGCCTTTTCAGTTTTCTGTCCACCAAAGTGAAAGGATCTCAACTTATGGGCCAAAGCCCAAGTTGGGGGCGTTATAATTCCAACATATGAAAATGAGATGATTTCCACACCCGTTTTTTCTCCCTTGCACTCCTCTTTTCTTTCTAGCTCGAGTACTGAATAAATCCAAAGAGAATCAAGGGATGAAAACAGAAGGAGAGTGCAAAAGAAGAAAATGGCTGTATGGAAATCACTTCAATACAAAATCATCTCAGACCAAAAGAAAAAACCAAGAGAAACAGGAAAAGACCACCTGCATAGTGCATAGATAGACGAAGCGGGGAAGCATAGACCATATAAGTTGCACCTCTCAAGTCCACAAATATGTGCATAACAGCCAGTAAAATCTAAGACATAGTCATCTCCAGTTACCCCCATATGTTGTGTCAGCCAAAGCAAGAGGAGAAGAAATAGAGCAACATTTATACGACCAACATGGAACGGAAAACATGAGCGGCACCACATATAGGGGACAATAGAGCTTGGTCCTCGATTCCTCATAAAGATAGGTAGCAAACAATCATCAGCCATGCAGGTAAATACCAAGATTTCCCTATGCAAAGAAGATTAGGTATAACCAATGCGTATATTACCGACCCTGAAGTCTTCCAGATCCAGACCGACCACATAGGCTACACAATTCATAATCTACAGACATTATAAAGACTGAGATTTGGACACATTAAGTAGATCTAAATGAAACAAAATGCTATGGGTTAGGATCACATCAAAATCAGTCCTCCCTGCTCCAGTGGACCATTCCAAGTAACGGTCTTTCCATGCGATGGGAACAAGGACCAATCAACAATAATAGACATGATACCCTATGACAGATTATCCACTTGTATGAAGATAAACTTCAGAACTACAATGTGATTTGGTCAGAACTGCTACTTTGGCATAGGCAAGTGATGTTCTTCAAAAGGCCAATTGATAAATCACTTCCTTAACTAGAGCTATGGGTTACTGAATCTTCTCCCCTTTTCCTCCTTGAAGTGCGCTCGCTATTTTTAGCCAAGGCAAACTCTTCAGCGAGACAGTCCAGCTTTAAACCCTAACGATGGCTGTGGAAATAGTAAGACTAAACACCCGGAAATCCCCAATAGGGACTTTGAGGAGATGTCACTAAAACTTCAGAAAGGGGGATACATTGAGGCTTAGCCTAGTCAACGCGAAGAGAATTACCTTTCCACAAATAAGTGAAAAGGTCTTTGTTTCAAAAGTTCGGCATGTTTGTGCTCTGCTCTCAAAATATTCGTCTTCCTAACTAACAAAAAGTTCACAGTGAGTTTTGGTCAAGTTTTCACACATGATTTCTAAAATTACAGCTTGTAGCCACTACTCTGCCATGTTAAAGTATAACACATGCATACACACTTCAAATATGAACTTGAAGGAGGAAAATACCGACGAAATGATACAATCCAATAGGGACTAAAAGGAAGATACTTGGATTGAGTAACATAAAGTATTCACAGCCTTGGCCGCAATACAGCAACTAATTAGCATAGCCTCATCGAATCACTTACTACTAATACTACTAATACTACTTTCCGAAACATAATGTCAATTTTTACTGACCTTCCTCCTCAACTCAATCATCGCTGTCATCACTGTCGTCTTCTACTTCATTTGCAATGTCATTAGCAATGTAAACTCCAGGCTGCACCTGCCGTCTCCGAGTCCTCGAAGGAAGAATGTTATCCAAATCGACCTCTGCAAGAGGATCATCCGACAAATCGCTGTCTCCGTCTTCGAATTCGCTTCCGCCGTCGCTCGAATCATCGTCGCTGTCGTCGTCATCTTCTTCTACCAGTTTCCCTTTGCCCTTGTCATCTCTCATAATCCCCTTCCCCTTCCGATCCACCTCCGCCTTCCCATTAGACTTTTCATCGTCTTCTTCTTCTTCTTCGTAATCTTCCTCCTCGTCTTCGTCTTCGAGGTCAGCATTGGCTTCAAACTTACAGGTTTTCTCTTCGCCAGCGGAGGAATTGTTGTTGAAATTTTCTGGGGTTTGACTTTTAGCTTCCGCAGCCGACGGACTGTCATCGGGAACTTCAAGCTTCTGGGTTTTGTTGGGGCAGTCGGGCTGGTCGCCGCAGCTGAGATCGGGTTTGCGCTTCGCTGGAAATGTGGGTTCGCCTTGGTCCCTAGCTTCAGCCATGAGTGAGCTGCAGAAGGACTGGCTTTAGTGAGAGGTTAGCAGGGAGAGAGATTGGACCTCTTGGGATGGTGAGTTTTAGGGTTTTAAAACGCCACAAAGAGAGAGAGTAGTTGAGGCCCTTGAGGGATCTCAATTCGTACGAGAGGTCTGCCGCCTGCCTGGCGGCACGAAGAAATTTCGCTCGGTTTTAATAACTCCTAATTTTTTTTAGGGCTTTATTTGTTAGCAAATTTCTTAATATTTATTTATTTAAATTTTCTAAAATACCTAAGAATTTCTTGATTTTACCTAATATCCTCCGGTTACATCGAATAAAAGTATTCCTAGACCGTTGTTGCCCTATCATGTTAATTTATATTTGTAGAGAAATTTAAATCGCATCTGCTATATGAAATGGAAAAACAAATTTCTTCCTCACCTATTGTCTTTTGGAGTTCTTAGTGGTACCAAATTCATGCCAAAACTTATTACTTTTCATGTTCAATACTCAAAGACTAACTTAATAGTAGTCGGTAAATTTCTTCCTCTTCTATTGTCTTGTGGAGTTCTTAGTGGTACCAAATCCACCCTGAAACGGATTATTTTTCATGTTTAATACGCAAAGATTAACATAACAGTTGTTTGGTCGAAAGTAACAACAGTACAATAAATCTTAATTTTATTACCTTTTTTATCGATTTTAGAATTAAATTATTGTTACATTAACAGTTACAATGTTGTCTTTTAAAAAAAGTTACAAATTGTTATTTAACGTGAAATAAACGAGGCCAAATGCAACAATTTATTTTAAATGAAAATGGAGATTTTCTCTTTTTTCTTCTTCACATTAATAGTAACGCATTCAACTTCATTTCCCACTAAAATTGCACATAATAATATTCGTTGTTTATTATTTGCTGGGAAAATTGTTGTCCGCCGTTCCTAAATGAGCTGGAAAGTGTAAAATATTCACAATTTGATATGGCTTGGAATTTTCGCCAGCGCCAACGCGGTCACTGAATTGAATCCAAAGAGTGGGGCACCAAAAACAGATTGGACGACTAGACACGACGATTCTTCTCCCATCGCCTCTCATCCTCTCCCTCCGTCTGAGTCTGACCCATCCACGGGTCAACCCGACTCAAATACCGGATCTGGGCCACATCTCTGATCTGCACACCCTCAGAAACTCCTGCTCAGAGCTCCGCAACTCCCAGATTCTCCGATCCAGTTCACGTCGCCAAGCTTCACACAGCTTAAACGACGTAGCTTTCGGATCATACAATCATCCCATCGCAAAAATGATTGCGATCCCTTATTTAACCGCGTTAACCACGTACTTCAGCTATGGATTGCTCTTCGTTTTCGGCCAAGTCAGAGATTTCTTCCGCAAAATCATTGACTGGTGGAGTGCTAGCAATTTGCAGGTTCCGTAATCATTTGACATAATTTTGTTTCCATTTTAAAAAAAAAAATTTCCTGTAATTTTATGTAAAAAAGAAGAAGATTGTTTTGTTGCGAGAAGCAGGGTTATGCTCCAATCTGTTTAGGACTTGAAGATTTCTATATTCGCCGGCTTTATCTTCGAATTCAGGTATTTTGTTGTTGAATTGATTGCGTTATATAATATATATATATTTTTTAATTATTATTATTATTTTTTTTTTGGTGAAAGATTGCGTTATATTTCTTGAGCTGTATGGAATGGATGCACCTGCTCCTGCAATTAAACATAAATCCATGGAGTCCCGTAAACATAATTATTGATAATTGCTGGTTAATTTTTTTAAGTTTTGACTGGTCAGGACTGTTTCAATAGACCTATTGCAAGTGCTCCTGATGCTTGGTTTGATGTGGTTGAACGCTACTCCAATGACTACAACAAAACACTCAAGTAACGATTACAAATGTCCTCCGATTTTGTAATTTCATGAATCCTGTTGTTATGTTTTCTTGATTTATATCCTCACTCTGTATTTCGACTAATGCAGGCTGACGAAAAAAACTAGTCGATGCCTTAACTTAGGATCTTACAATTACCTTGGCTTTGCTGCATCCGATGAGTACTGCACGCCTCGCGCTATTGAGACGTTGAAAAAATATTCTCCCAGTACCTGTAGCAGCAGAGTTGACGGCGGTTTGTATACTAATACTACTTTGCAAGAAAATTTGTTTGAACTGTTTTTCTAAATGAATTTAAGGATCCCATGAATTCACCATGATACACTTCTATTATCAGGCACCACCGATTTGCATAATGAGCTGGAAGAGTGTGTTGCAAATTTTGTCGGGAAACCTGCTGCAATAGTTTTTGGAATGGGTTATGTCACAAACTCTGCTATCCTTCCTGTCCTGATGGGGAAGGTTTGCATCTTTTCTCAAATTTATGACCTCTAAACTTTGTCTTTGCATTCCTTATATGAATTTGTGCCATTTGACGTTACAGGGAGGCTTGATTGTTAGTGATTCTTTGAACCACAACTCTATTGTCAACGGCGCAAGAGGATCTGGAGCTAGAGTTTGTGTTTTCCAACACAATAGTAAGTTTCTTAGTTACTATCTTGTATAGCATGGATGCTGAAGCTTTTGACTTGGGCATCAAATTCTGCGTCCCAGGGTTTTAAATGATGCATATTTTCTTTACACTAAGACAATCCAGTGAGGAAATATTAGTTCATAATCAGGTTTTTGGCTATTTGTCCTTGTGTTAATTCATGTGTATGGATTTAATTGATTACTTGAATGAAAGGGATGTTGATCGGATACACATTTCCAAGATGTTGCGTTTTTCTCTGAGATGTTGATGGTAGCATGAATAGAGTTTTACTCATTAAAATTAAAAGAAAAATGTGAAGCTCAGGTTGGAGGTTGCACCGTTATATCTATCTGTTGCTTTATTTACAGCTCCTGCTCATTTGGAGGAAGTTTTGAGAGAAAAAATCGCAGAGGGGCAGCCTAGGACCCGCAGACCCTGGAAGAAGATAATCGTCATTGTGGAGGGGATATACAGCATGGAAGGGGAGCTTTGTAAACTTCCTGAGATTATAGCAATCTGCAAAAAATATAAGGTTGCACCTTCTTGGTAGCTTTCACTTCAATAAATGTTGTTTGGCCACCTTATTATATGCAGTATATTGTATCCTTCAAAGGACTATTACTTTTCTAATGAATTGGGAAATACCTTGCTAAACTGTTATCTGAACAGTGAATAATTTTTGTCTTTATTCTCAGCAACTTCCTTTCTTGTCTTAGGCATATACATATTTGGATGAGGCCCACAGCATTGGAGCAGTAGGGAAAACAGGAAGAGGTGTTTGTGAGCTCTTAGGAGTCGATACAGCTGATGTAGATATCATGATGGGAACATTTACCAAGTCATTTGGATCATGTGGTGGCTATATTGCAGGATCTAAGGTTTGTTTTTTGAACCTTCCTTATACTTCGAATATGTTAATCAGTGCGTGGTGGGACCTAGCCAGACTTTCAATGTGGAAAAGGCATTCGTTGAAATAGGAGAGACTTAATTATGCATTATCTATATGACTGGCTGGCTGGCTGTCAGTTTCTTTTACTTAAGTGCCATTTATGGATGATCAACCTAACTCTTAGTTGAAAAGCAATTTTGATTCTGGCAGAAGGTCTTCTCCGTTGCACGATGCATTGATGTGATTCTTAGACAAATTACCATGTATTGAGTTTTTATATTCTCTTTGTAACAAACACTTTGACTCTTGTGCCATCCTTTTATTCACATTATGGTGTGTCTTTGCAGAGTAATAAAAAAATTCATGAGCTTTGTATTGAATTTAACGTGGTCAATGATGTTATGTCCAGGAGCTTATCCAATACTTGAAGTACACTTGCCCTGCTCATCTTTATGCAACTTCAATATCACCACCAGCTGCCCAACAAATAATATGTGCCATAAAGGTCCTTCTTGGAGAGGATGGTTCCAATAGAGGTGCTGATAGATACTTGTTTCTTTTCCTCAGTTTCTCTTTGGTTTTCTTTCCTCTGTTTTCTTTGGTATGTCTTGTGTTTAGTAGATATTGTGCAAGTATCTTTAGCCTTTAGTGCTTCTTCTTTATATGATGGTGACCGAAAGAGCTTTTGTTTCCTTGTAGGTGCCCAAAAACTTGCACGGATACGAGAGAATAGCAACTTTTTCAGGTCAGAACTACAAAAAATGGGTTTTGAGGTTTTGGGGGATAACGACTCTCCAGTAATGCCGATTATGCTATACAACCCAGCCAAAATTCCTGCCTTCTCACGGGAGTGCCTCAAGCAAAATGTGCGTCCATACTTCCCCCACATTTGTCCTCTTATGGTTTTATTTTTCTGTTGCCTCTAGGTCAATATAAATTACTGCTGAATGAATGGTGCTGTTACAGGTAGCTGTTGTGACAGTAGCATTTCCAGCAACCCCGCTACTGTTGGCAAGGGCACGTATATGCATATCTGCATCTCATACGAGGGAAGACTTGATCAAAGCCTTGGAGGTAAATTCTTGTATAACAAGTTCAATATGACATCCATTCTCTGGCTTCATGTATTTCCATGTACATGCAACATCTTATAACACAGTTGCAATATTGGTTGCAATGTGAGAGAGTTTGTGGCTTGATATTGTTCTGGGGTTTGGTTCTTTCAGGTCTTCGGGAGGGTTGGTGATCTGGTGGGTATAAAATACTTCCCCGCTGAACCAAAGAAGGCGCAGGCCGAAGAAGAAAGGTTGCTGAAGGTGGACTGATTAGCAAAACTGAAGATGGAGGGATGCCTTGGAGCCTTGAATCATCATTTGTGAGCCGTAAAAGGGGTCGTGGAAGCTGGACTAGAGTCTAGGATATGTGATCACGTATGTCAGTGTGTACCTTGTGATTTAACTTGCGGTGTCATCAGCTCTTGTTGTAATGTGGCATTCTCTATATCAAAGGTCTGCACCGTGCTACGCTCGAATAGGGCGTTTCTTGTTCATACATGGTGGATTTTGCTATTTTCTCTTCTCTTCCAATAGTTTTGTTTGTTTAAATTGGTCTTCTCTTCTCATCGTATGAGCTGTACAAATGGAGCCTGTTTAGTTTGTGACCAGAATTTACTATTTTCTTCAGTTATTTTCCAACAATTCCAATGACAAATGGTCAACTGAATATCTAACCAAGTGGGATTAATAGATCTTGTTTATTTCCAGCTAAATGTTATCTGTTTTTACCTAAACAG